ACCAAGAAGAAGCCACCACAAGGAAAGAAGGAAAAAACTTCTTGTGAGAAGCAGAGGCATACTCTGCCTTTCAAGGCAGATGCACAGTAGATGTATTGCGAGGTTGAAACTAGAGCACAAAAGCCAGTGATATAATGAGTAACACATCGCGTCTGAACCCGAAAGAGAGTGGCTCGATTCTCTCCCAGTCCACAACAATTTTCGAAAAGGGATTTCGTTCATGACTTGCGGTGCCACTTATCTAGGCAATTTCATTAATCTCCTATTTAGTCAGTCCCTCACCTTACCCTCTTAGCCCTGTGTGTCCAGGCGTATTTACGCCAAATTATAAATGCGAAAAACGAATCTGATTCCAAAAATAAAAGTGAAAGGCGATGACAGTAGAATGACTGACCGTGTAGAGTTGTTCCTGCAGATGGCCTGATAAGCTCTAAACCTTATGGAAAGCATGCGGCAGTTGAGTGGTCTGATGTGGCTGTTGCATTGCACTCGGATACACACCAGCAAACGGTTCGCCGCCAATCGCGTACAGTGCTGCTGCTTCGAAAGCCACTGCTTGCTGCGCTGCTGCCGCTTGCACCGCTGCTACATTGAAACCACGTGTGACACCTCCAGCGCCAGCAGCAGCAGCAGCAGCGGCTACTGGCGCGACACCATTTGTGACGCCACCGGGGGGCGACGTAGGTGCAAGCTGGGCGTACGATTGAAACCCGTTGAAAACTGAAATGCATAAATTCTTATGAATTTTGGATGAATGGTCACGGCGCGATTCAAGAATTGTGAACAGATATTTAGATTTCAACCACCCTTCGAACTCCGATTAGTTTCATTTCTCCAGCAAAATGCATGGTGAAGAGAATAATCAAATAAACAAGGGCTGCTTCAAAAAATGCTTTGGGTACGGAAGGGGACGAAAGAAAGAACTATGCAGTGGAGAAGAAAGATAAATTGTGGCAGAAAAATCTATATCCAGATGAAAAACTACAAGATTAATGGGACAGAATAGAAGTGCTTTGAAAATATCAAAAAGAAACAACCAAGAAATTTACAAAGTTTCAAAAAATGAGTAGCACTGTTGGGCATAACAAATATCAAAAATAGGTAAAGAAACTTTGAAAAATGTTTTTAAAAATGGACAATAAATCGCACTCTGAGAAGCGCAAGTGAATACAGAGTTGATGTACAATACACACACAAATGATGTAAATGACATCTCCCACTACACAATTCATGATTTTGACTCCATATCACTAAAAAATACTTACTTCCACCGCTATAAAACATATTCGCACCATAAGTACCGAGCCGAGGCAGATACGAAGCATAGGCTGAAAATAAATGTGCATTTTTAATGAACAACTGAAGGAGATTTATGCGGACATTTTAAGTTTTTTTTTTAGCTTAGAAATCTATGGAAGGTTTTTTTCTTTCTCATGGAAGCATATGCGAGCTGAACGAGAGCAACTGGAATGACTGCTTCTCTAGCACAGGACGACTAAAGCGGCCTTTTTTCTTTGGCAATTTTAAAATCCAAATTTCCTGTCAAAAGTGTCGGATTTAAAAAAAAAAAAAAAAACTGAAAGAAACAGCATCAATGGTAATGAATCAGAATAAAGAAAAGCCAGGCCAACAGTTGCCCGCGTCACAGTTTCTGATGCGATCATTAGTTTTTTATGCATTTTTGCATTTATACAATGCAGAAAACGCATATTGACGACAGGTTGTCTGTGTGTGTCCCTCTGTGTTCGTCTGCATCGATTTTTCATCTAGAGACCTACAAAAGCCACAGAGCTGAAACTTTGGGAACTTAATCTACATGCGTGTACGTGCCCCATCTCCAAAATGAGCGCTCTTACCCGCGTGGTACTCACGTATAGCCCGCCAAGGTTTTTTACGGTAAGTTGCTAACTCGGGAACCAGAAATGCATGGGGCTGAAATTTTAAGGGGATGTTCCCCGTCCAAGTAGGTATTAAAGAGCTCAAACCCAGCCCTCGGGTACGTGGTTTTTATGTACAGGCCCATGAAAGTTTTTTGCAGGTAAGCTGCTAACTCGGAAACCAGAAAAGCTAGAAAGCTGAAATTTTAAAGGGATATTTTCTGTCTCAAATATCTTAGCTAGTAGCATTTGCTGGAAAAACCATGCAAAAAACGCATCCTCGCACCGCCAGTCGACGCGCTTGCCATCTATTTACACAGTTGTGTGCTACAGTAAGATTGTTAAAACAACAAAATTCACTGTTCCACAGATTCATGTGTGCGCATATGCTCCATATGTCCCTGCTAGTCTTTTCTTCAGCACTGCCAGAAAAGCCCTCAGCTGAACCGCTGCTGTTGCACTGTGGGGCCTTGTAGAACTTTAGCCATTTACTATCTGAGGGGGTTGCTGATAATTCTGCAAGTGGAACTTCGACATGTTCGGACTTCAAGCTTGGGCGCCCATGAAAAATTATTTCCTGTCTGCCAACCGTCACAGGTCGCAAAATCCATTTAAAAGCATAGCTTTTTACTCATCCTGATTTGGAATTGCAAATATGCCAAGGTGTGAACGCATGTGGAAACTAGCAGATTTCTAGCCTATCTGGTTACTGAGAAGGATGTCGAGGGTTACAAACTGAACTTTTACTAGTTTAATCAGAGAGAAGGGAACACGAGAAAGCACATTTTACGTTTGCGGATCTGTGTAGACAGTGTAAATTTGAGTCACGCACACAAACACATAAGGAGAACATAGTCGTGAAATTTCAGCTCTTTAAGTTGACTGATTTTTTAAACCAATTTCTGAAAAAAAAAATTTGTCATGCTTGTGCACAAGAAGTGAAAGAGTGTGAACGTTCATAATGAGCATGCAAATTCAACTGTACCGGTGGATAAACTGCCAAAATTCCGGTTTCACAGCTTTTGTAAATCTCAGAATTTCAATCTGTGCGCGCAAATACACATGCATATATATATATATATATATATATATATATATATATGCATATATGCATA